CCCCCCCCCCCCCCAAGTATTCAAATTTGGGCATATCAGGTATTTGTGCCGAATTTGGTCCAGTGAATGAAAATACATCTTGCATATCATATATTTACATGACGATTCATAACAGGAGCAAAATTACAGTTATGAAGTAGCAACGAAAATAATGTTATGGTTGTGGGTCACCACAACACGAGGAACTGTATTAAGGGGTCACGGCATTAAAGAGGTTGAGAAACACTGCTATAGTACTACTAAGTTACCTTGGGATATATTGTTTGGTGAGCTCTCCGCTTTCCATATCCAAACTGCAAATCCCACAGCTATTAAAACCGAAGTGTGATGATTGGAGGATGTGTTTTGGTCCAGAGCTTGATAAAGTTCCCTTGGGATGAATGGACTCCAAGGGGAGGAATCTCGCCCTTCAGGCTGAGATAGAAGACCCCCCAAAAAAACTTTTCTCTCCTTTTCCTCCCTTCCAGCTGTTTTCAGCCTTGGCTCCCAGATGTTTCTCATTGCATTGTAATTGCAACCAGACACAGCCCCCAGCGGGTCTTTTATTCCCAGGGATGTTTTCCCTTTTCTGGAAATTCAGGGTCAGGGCAGGCAATTGGGAGGGAGACATGAGCTGGAAATGGGGATTTCAGGCCCAGGGGAGAGGTCTGCCAGCTCTGGCACTAGCAACAGTGCATTTCATCCGTTGGCGCTCAAACTTGTGCAACAGATGGGGATTTGGCTTTGGATCAGCCGGCCGAAAGAGGAAACAAAGGCCGGGGACGGCAATTTTGAAAGAGAAAGAAGAGAGAGGCACAGAGAGAAAAGGCTGCCTGTGTTGTCATTTAGGTTTCAGGAAGGCTTTGCAGAGTTGGAAGGGGTCCCCTAGAGACAATCTATTCCAATTCCCAGGCTCAGTGCACAATCTCCAACTAAAGCAGGCATGGGCAAACTTTGGCCCTCCAGATATTTTGGACTTCAACTCCCACAATTCCTAACAGCCTACCGGCTGTTAGGAATTGTGGGAGTTGAAGTCCAAAATACCTGGAGGGCCAAAGTTTGCCCATGCCTGAGGTAAAGCATCCCCAGCAGCAATGAGGGAGCTGTCCAGCCTCTTTTGGACAGCCCTCCTGCCATGTTTCTAGGCCATGGAGTGCATTGCCAAGCTGCTCTCACAGACAAAAAGTTCAACCTCGCCCTCAAAGTAGCTTCAGCAGCTTAAAGTTTGGACTAAAACCCAGAATGTGTCCCAAATGGAAATCATGTCTTTGGCATCATGGTAGTGGTGGATCCAGTCGTGTTGTTCAAGCAGCAGTTGGCATCCTATCTGTGCACATAAGTTTTTCTCTTAAATAAATAAATCTTCCTTTTTCCCTCTCCCACTCCTCCTCCGCTTCTTCTTCCTCTTCTTTTTCCTCTTCCTCTTTCCACCCCTCCAACGCTTCCTCCTCCACCTGTTTCTCCTCTTTTTCCTATTCCTACTCTTCCTCCTTCTTCTTCTCTTTCGGCTCTTCCTGTTCCTCCCCTTCTTCTCTTCTCCTTTTTTTCCTCTTCTTTACCCTCCCCTTCTTCTCATCCTCCTTCCTTTTCCTCTTTCTACTCTTCTTCCTTTCTTCTCTTCTTCCCTCTCCATCTTCTCTTTCTCCTCCTTTTTCCTTTTCTTCTCTTCCTCCCGTTCTGTCTCTTTTCCCATCTTCTTCTTCTTCTCTTCTTCCTTCCTCTCTTCCCCCTCTCTTTCTCCTCATACTATTCCTCTTTCTCTTTCCCTTTCTCCTGTTCTTTCTTTTCCCATTCTTCCTTCCCTTTTCTCCCCTCTCCTTGTCCTCATCTTCCTTTTCCTCTTCCTCCTTCTCTGTCCCTTTCTCCTGTTCTTTCTTTTCCCATTCTTCCTTCCCTTTTCTCCCCTCTCCATGTACTCATCCTCGTCTTCTTTTTCCTCTTCCTCCTTCTCTTACTCTTCCTCTCATTCTTCCTCTTTCCCCTTCTTCTTTTCTTATTATTTTCTTCTTCCTTCTTCTCTTCCTCCTCTCCTTCTTTTCCTTCTCTCTCTTCCTCCCATTCTTCCTCTTCCCCTTCTTTTCTTCCTTCCTCTCTTCCCTCCTCTTCTCTTCTTCATCTTCCCCTTTCTGCTCCTCTTCCCCCTTTTCTTTCTCTTCCTCCCACTCTTCCTCTTTTTCTGATTCTTTTCGTCCTTCTTTCCCCTCTCCTTCTTTTCATCCCCTTTTCCTAATCCTCTTCCTCCTCTTTCTCTTCCTCTCCTTCCCTCTTCTCCTCCTTCTCTTCCTCCCATTTTCTTCTTCCTCTCCTCCTCCTCCTCTTCCTCTTCTGCTCCTCAGGCCAACCTGCCCTTGTTGCAGCGTGAGCTCCTCCATTGCGCTCGAATGGCCAAGCAGACGCCCGCCCAGTACTTGGCTCAGCATGAGCAACTCCTCCTGGATGCCAACGCCTCCTCCCCCATCGACTCCTCCGAATTGCTGCTGGAGGTCAACGAAGGGGGCAAAAGGAGGACACCAGACAGGTACGGACTACAAAGCGCATGATGGAGGCAGGAAAGAGAGGCACCCATAGAGGCCGGTGAGTTGAGGCTTTGCCGAAAGGTGTGGACACAGCTGCCTTTCTCTCCCGGAGCAGGACCAAAGAGAACGGCTTGGAGCGGGACCCCCTGCACCCGGAGCCCCTCAGCAAGCGGCCCTGCACCATGAGCCCCGCCCAACGCTACAGCCCCAGCAATGGCCTGGGCCCCCAGCCCAACGGGATCCCCCACCCTACCCCGCCCCCTCCCCAGCATTACCGCCTGGAGGACATGGCCATCGCCCACCACTACCGTGATGCCTACCGGCACCCGGACCCCCGGGAGATGCGGGAGCGCCACCGCCAAGTGGGTGAGTGGCAAGACTGGGCAAGCCATGCCTTCCCCATTCCATACTCGCCAGATACCTATCAGGGATCTGCTGCGTGCCTCTGCCCCAGAGGCCCTAATGGGCGTCATTCTCTTCCCTTATAGCTGTGCACAGCACCCGGCAAGAAGAAGTCATTGACCACCGGCTAACGGACAGGGAGTGGGCCGAGGAGTGGAAGCACCTGAACAATGTACGTACCAAATCCTGTTGCCCAAAATGTGTATCGGACAGGACAGTGTCTCCACTGCTGGGACAGAATCTGTAAGAAGGGGGGATTCATGGTGTAAACAGAGGAAACCTAAAATTACTGCCAACTAGGCCTTGTCAGCCGGAAGATAGGGTTGTCAGAGAGTAAGACAAGGGGTCTCCAGTAAGACAGGGGCTGGCATCCTATTAATAAGAGACATTGGTCTATTAATGGTATACATCGACATCCTATTGATGGTATACATTGACCTCCTATTAATGGTATACATTGGCATCCTGTGGATGACAAGTATTGGGATCCTTATTGGTGACAGATATTGGCCTCCTGTTGATAACAAACATTGCCCTATTGATGGTATACATTTGCATCCTATTGGTGACAGACATTGGCTTCCTGTTGATAACAAACATTGGCCTATTGGTGGTATACATTTGCATCCTATTGGTGACAGATATTAGCTTCCTGTTGATAACAAACATTGGCCTATTGATGGTACACATTCGCATGCTATTGGTGACAGACATTGGCTTTCTGTTGATAACAAACATTGGCCTATAGATGATATACATTTGCATCCTATTGATGACAGATATTAACTTCCTGTTGATAACAAACATTGGCCTATTGATGGTATACATTTGTATCCTATTGGTGACAGATATTGGCTTCCTGTTGGTAACAGACATACCATCAATAGGCCAATGTCTGTTATCAACAGGAAGCCAAGATCTGTCACCAATAGGATGTGAATGTATACCATCAATAGGCCAATGTTTGTTATCAATAGTAGACCAATATCTGTCATCAATAGAATGTCAATCTATTCACATCCTATTGGTGACAGATATTAGCCTCCTGTTTATAACAGACATTGACCTCCTTTTGGTGGTATACATTGGCATCCTATTGATGACACGTATTGGTATCCTTATTGGTGATAGACACTGGCATCCTATTAATGGCATACATTGGCCTCCTATTGATAACAGATATTGGCCTCCTGTTTATGACATACATTGGCATCCTATTAATGACATACACTGACATCCTATTGATAACAGATATTGGCCTCCAGTTGATAACAAACATTGGCCTATTGATGGTATACATTGGCATCCTATTAATGACAGATATTGTCACACTATTGATGATAGACATTGGCACTCTATTTGTAACAGATATTGACAACCTATTGATGGTAGATATTCTGTAATGATGTACCATTGCAGAACCAGTACGGTCCCTCTGCTCCACTTAGTTTGCAAAATCGGATGGTTAAGTTTTAAGGGTTTCACAACTGCCGCCCAACTCAGCCCTGACATGTGGCTTCTGCCCAGCAGCTGCTGAACTGCATCATGGACATGGTGGAGAAGACCCGCCGCTCACTGACAGTGCTGCGCCGTTGCCAGGAGGCGGACCGGGAGGAGCTCAACCATTGGATCCGCCGTTACAGTGATGCTGAAGACATGAAGAAGGGGGGCAGCCCTGCCAGCCGCTCCCACAACAATACGGCCAACACAGAGGCCCCTCCCATAGGTATCCATGAGGAGGGGGGATTTGGGGTGCACAGATACCTCCGTGATCTTCGTCTCCAGTAGAGTCAACAAATGGTGGATCAATGGCTCAGTCTCATCAATAGAATGGAGGCATCCGAGAGATTGGGAAAGGTGCTTATATGGGCTGCTGCTCCCTGGATCCCTCAGCCAGCATAGCATCCTATTGATGATAGACATTGACATGCTATGGATGATATACCATAGCATCCTACCGTTGATGACAGACATTGGCATCCTATTGATGATAGATATTGGCATTCTATTGATGACATATATTGTTATCCTACTGATGATGGACATTGGCATCCAATGGATAATAGACAGTGGCATTCTACTCTTGATGACAGTCTCCTTTAGCTGACATACTTTGGCATCCTATTGATGACAGATATTGGCATCCTTTTGATGATAGATCTTGGCATCCTTTTGATGGCAGGTTGTCAATATCTGTTGGGCTGCACATTTGGAGGCATGGGTTCCTCTTTTACCAGCTTTCCTCAACTTGGCACATTGGACTACATGTCCTGCTATCTTGTTGGGGGGGGGGGGATGGAGAATATATTCCAACCAGAATGGGGGGGGGCATTATCTTTAGTATTTGCACTGATTCTTCTTTTCTTTCAAAGGTGCTGCTATGCTTGTAGAAAGAGATTTAGGGGCCTTGTTTAAAATCAGACGAGGCATTGAATATTTCTTTTTCTTTTTTCTTTTTCTTCTCCTTTGGTCAGAAGCTCATCGCGAATTTGTATCCAGGCCCTTGTCTGGCTACATGCCTGAGGAAATCTGGCGGAAAGCTGGTGAGTTTATTGGGAAGGGAGTATTTTGGGGGGAAAGGGGAGACAAGTTAGTTCCAGGCTTCATAGATTGGGGCAGGATTATCAATGTTTTAGCGGTTACAATTGTTCCAAGATGGCATCTATCTATCTATCTATCTATCTATCTATCTATCTATCTATCTATCTATCAAAAGCCACTTTTTCAGTTATTGCGGAATAAAGTTGCCAGGGGAAATGTGCATGCAGCCAGACCCCAACTTCTGCTCTGCTATCTTCTGCATCCAACTACAAGCAAGTAGACTAAATGTTCCCAATATAGATGAAAAAGAATAATCCTCCAATTTCACTTTCACCTGGAAACAGTCCTTTAGATTGTTCCAAACAGGAATATGTGTTTTGTCTCTGTGGTTGATACTTAATGTGCAATGCTTAATGGCATTCCTTTGTCTCAAGTCAAGGACAGTCCTCAACTGACAATCCAAGATGGTGCTTCTGTACCTTTAAGTAGAAGATGGAATATCGGTCACTGGCTGAAATTCACTCTTATTAGTACAGTCTATTAAAGGTACAGAAATCCCTGATTTTGACAGATATCGAGTAGTTACTGTCAAATTGAGTAGTTACTGTAAAAAAAAAAAGCAACTCAAAGTGGAGGCCCTGTACCTTTAAGTAGAAGATGGAATGTACTCACCGGCTGAAATTCACTCTTCCACGCAACTATTAATGGTACGGAAGTCCCTGATTTCACCTGGCAGAGATTGGATAGTTACTATCAAAAAGGCAACCCTAGGCACAGGGCTCCTGTACCTTTAAGTAGAAGATAGAATGTCAGTCACTAGCTGAAATTCACTTTTCCATAGAACTTTTAATGACACAGGTATTAATAGTACAACTATTAAAGGTATTGGACTCCCTGATATCACCTGGCAGAGATTACTGTCAAAAAGGCAACCCTAGACAGGGCTCTTGTACCTTTAAGTAGAAGATAGAATGTTACTCACTAGCTGAAATTCACTCTTCCATAAAACTATTAATGACACAGGTATTAATAGTACAACTATTAAAGGTACTGGACTCCCTGATATCACCTGGCAGAGATTGCTGTCAAAAAGGCAACCCTAGACAGAGCTCCTGTACCTATAAGTATAATAATAATAATAATAATAATAATAATAATAATAATAATAATTCTTAATCGCCTCTCCTCGTGTCTCGAGGAGGGTTACAGGATAACTAAAATATATAAACATAGAAGATGGAATGTCAGTTGCTAGCTAAGAGCCCCTCTTCAATACAACTATTAATGGTACAACCATTAAAGGTACAGGACTCCCTGATCTCACTTGGCAGAGAATTGATATTATGGATTGCAAACATTGACTTATTTGCAATGCACTGTTTCTGAGCTTGCCTTGAGAACTCCAATTTTCTCCTTGACCCCGAACCTTATTGAGCTCCCCCTCCATGATTTCCGCCTTGCTCTGTGCTCTTCCTTTCAGAAGAAGCCGTGAATGAAGTGAAGCGCCAGGCCATGTCCGAGCTCCAGAAGGCTGTCTCCGACGCTGAGCGGAAGGCCCACGAACTGATCACAACAGAGCGGGCCAAGATGGAGCGAGCTTTGGCCGAAGCCAAGCGTCAGGCCTCAGAGGACGCCTTGACCGTCATCAACCAGCAGGAGGACTCCAGTGAGGTAGTGACTCCCTCTCCCAACCTGGTGCTCGGCTGGAAACCGTAACCGATGGCTCAGAGTGGGGGGCGCCCACCAGGCTTGGTGGCCAAACTTCTCTCTTTCACCCCCTTTACGTATCTCTTTTATCCCCTACATGTTCCGTTCTCCTTAAATGTTATGAATTGGTTGAGCTCGACCCTGGACCCCGATCCGCAGCGCCACGGGGAGCGGCCCCCGTCGAAGAGCTAGACGGTTTCGGGCTTTTGAGCCCTGCTTTCCGCGGGTGTCTTTCGCTCGGCCCCTGACTCTGTCTGCTTTCGCCTTCCCCTGCAGAGCTGTTGGAACTGCGGGCGCAAGGCCAGCGAGACCTGCAGTGGATGCAACACCGCCCGCTACTGTGGATCTTTCTGCCAGCACAAAGATTGGGAGAAACATCACCATGTCTGTGGGCAGACGCTCCAAGGACTCCAGGCGAGTGGGACTCCTGTAGCGGCCACGGCACAACCGGACATGGCAGCCACAGGGGCTAATGTCATCAGCACAGTGGCCGGAAGCCCTGGTGATTCCAGCTCGGCCGCTGCATCACGTTCCGGCACTCCGGCCACTCCGGTCCCTCTGGACACAGCTTCTCGCTAAGACGGGGAAAGGAAGCCGGAAAACTGACCAAGAACAGTCGCTGCTGCTGCTACCAGTTGTCTCCAAATGACAAAACAAATACAAATGAAAGACACAAAACTGCATTCAATGCAAACCCTCAGCTACCTGACACGTATTTGACCTCCGAAACGACCTCTATCTCTCACACGAAATCCTCATGACTTCTCAAACCTGGGCTTTAAAGCGGAGCGACGGCAAAGACCCACCTGCTCCGTTCACTCATTTTTATTTTTCCAAAATAAGTACCTTTGCAGATGACGTTGGTGTTGGTGTAGACGATATGATTGGGAGAGTTTATAATTTGGTTTAGATTATTATTATTTTGGATGAGGAATTTGTCTGCAGGTATTACGCCACGCATCTGGATTCAGGGGACGGGGAAGGAGGCCACATAAATCAAATGGGTGACTTCCCTCCGTCCACCTTTCTGCCGGAAATGTGTCCGAGACAAAGAAAAGGGGAAAGAAACAAACACTTACCCTGAAAGGAGAAAAAAAGAAGAAGGCAGGGGATTTTTTTAAAAAGCAAACCATTTCAGTTACAAAAACAAGATTTTTTTTTCTTTTTTGTAAAAAAATAATAAAAATAAACCATAAAAACATCAAACTCTTTGGCTTTAAAAGAAAAACAAAATCCAAAAAGAGAACCCGACGAAACCAAGTGAAGGAAGCTTACCTGTAAACTACCTTGCTAGTTAGCCAAGAAGATACCAGATTCACCTCTGTTCCAAAGGAAATCCAAAAAAATAATAATAACCAGAATAGAAAATATCCAAACTTTTTTTCCACTGCCAAAGTTTCTTTTTTTTCTTTTTCGTTTGTTCGTCGGTTCGGTTGCTTGGTCAGTCGGTTCCTTCTTTCTCCTCCTTACTTGGGAGGGAATGGTTGTCGTTGTTGTTGTTTTTCTAAAATCTATATATAAATATATAAATATATTTATGCTTTTGGGTTTTTTGCAAAAACTGAGGAATATACCCGAGTTAAGAGCAGAGCAATGGGGACTTTCTCCCGACGACGGCTGCTGGCGAAATTGTCGTCTCCTCGCGGTTCTTTAATGCACTTGGACCTTTACCGCGTTCTGGTTTATCCTTCGAAGGAGGACAAAAAAGAAATGTGCAAAGAAGGGGATCAGAAGACATGTTTGTTTTTGTAGAATAAAAAAGCAAAAACAAAAAAAATCACCCGTACGACAACAACAAAAGAGAAATCCACTACTTGTATGTATGTATGTCTGTGTGCAAGTTTGTATGTGTATGGATGAGGCAGAAAATGACTCCTTTGGCTCTCTCCCTGGATGGATCATAAAGATTTTCAGTTCTGTTTCATTCAAAAGAGCGTTAAAAAGGAAAGTATAAATGCTACTGTCCAGTCACCCAACCTCGGATGCATCACTATTGAATTAATGCCGTTTTGACCCACACTTTACCTGCTGTGGCTCAATGCTATGCAATCATGGGAGCAGTAGTTTAACATGGGAGTTGTAGTTTGACAAAATGGGAGTTGTAGTTTGTGATGTAGTCTTGACACCTCTCTGGCGAATACTGCTAGGGCTCCAACAAACTACAACTCCCATCATTCTGTAGCATTGAACCATGGCAGTTTGAGTGGTACCGAACTGCATTAATTCAGCAGTGCAGACGTGTCAAATTAATGCAATTTGATGCCACTTGAACTGTTGTGGCTCATTGCTATGGAATCATGGGAATTGTAGTTTGACATGATAGGAATTGTAGTTTGACACGATGAAAGTTGTAGTTTGATATAATAGGAGTTGTAGCTTGAGATCTAGTCTTGAGACCTCTCTGGTGAATAGAGCTGGAGCTCCATCAAACTACAACTCACATGATTCCACAGCATTGATCCATGGCAGTTTGAGTGGTACCAAACTGCATTAATTCAGCAGTGCAGACATGTCAAATTAATGCGGTTTGGTGCCACTTGAACTGCCATGGCTCAGTGCTATGGAATCATAGGTGTTGTAGTTTGACATGATGAGACTTGTAGTTTGACAAAATAGGAGTTGTAGTTTGATATAATGATAGTTATAGTTTGAGATGTAGTCTTGAGACCTCTGGCGAATAGTGCTAGGACTCCAACTCACATTATTCCGTGGCATTGAGCCATGGCCATTCGAGTGGTCCCAAACTGCATTGATTCAGCAGTGCAGACATGTCAAATTAATGTGGTTTGATGCCACCTGGGCTACAGAATCATGGGATCTGACATAGTCTTGAGCCCTCCCTAGCGAATAATGCTGGAGCGCCACCAAATCACAACTCCCATTATGCCATAGCAATGAGCCACAGCAATTCAAGTGGTATCAAAGTGCATTAATTTGACAATGTCAATGTTCCAGAAAGAGAGAGAGAGAAAGAGCATTCTTCCAGAAATACCTGTGATCTACCTTTTCCCGGTTCCTCTCCGACTCCGAATGCGGACTCTACCCACTAGGACATTCTGCCTGGGCTCGTCTTTCTTGCACCACTACCTCTTTCTGCAACCCATAAACTACCAAATCCAAGGCAGAGTTTTTCACTTCGACTTTTCCAAAAGGGAGCAAAAACTGTTCTGTCGTTCTCAGCTAAAGTCTCCGTCGGCACCTGTAAATAAATAAATACCCATGGCGTTTTTGTGTCTTTCCACCAATCCCACATTTTTGGGGGTGCATCTACACCAGCCACGGGCAAACTTGAGACTCCAGGTGTTTTGGACTGCAACTCCTACCATTCCTAACAGCTTAAGTGGCTGATGGGGAAAAGGAAAGAGCCTGAGGCTGTTAGGAATGGTGGGAGTTGAAGTCCAAAACACCCAAGATGGCCCAGGTCTGGTGTAAAGCTTGTCATGGATCATTTATTTTCCACCGTTTCCTATCCCAATGTCCCCCCTTTAATTTTAGCAGCACCAGATTGTAGTCAGAGAAGACCCTGGGTAGTATTTCCACCTTAAGCGGCTGAGGGGGAAAAAAGAAGAGGCCTGAGGCTGTTAGGAATGGTGGGAGTTGTAGTCCAAAACACCTGGAAGGTCCAAGTTTGCCCATGTGTTAATTCCACAGTGTTGATGTACCTTAGGATTCCTTTCTCTTGTCTTCCACAATGCGTTCGTGCAGAAAAGCATAAGTTGCATGTCTGGGGGGAAAAGCCCTATCAGTCTGTCACATTTCTTGCAATCATTGTACAAAGCGTTGAGGACGGGAGTGCAATATATGGGGCAAAGCGGGGATTTATAGCACGGCTGCAGGGAGACTGATGCGTCAAATGTGAATGTACATAGTCATTGCAAAGGTCCAAAAAAGTACTACTACAAATGATGAAGAAAAGTATAATAATTATTATAATATGGTGATAATGATGACGAGGTTGTTTGCCAAATAGTAGAAAACGAGATGTCAAAGTTAGGAAACAGGATGAATCCATAGGCTCCTTTGGAGGTGGTCTTTTTCAGGAATTTGAAGAAAGTTTAATTTATTTTGTTCCCCTCTTTGGTAAAAGAAAGGTCGTCTTTAAATCCTATGATTACTGTAAGAATATGAGAATACTGTTAGATAAGTATGGGGTCTTTTAGATGGATCTACACTGCATTATATGGTCAATATCAACTATTATATGGTCAATATGGACTATAATATGGTCAGTATAGACTGCACTATCTGATCAGTATATACTGGATTATATGGTCAGTATAGACTGCATTATATGGTCAATATAGAGTGCACTATATGGTCAATACAGACTGTATTATATGGTCAGTATAAAGTGCACTATATGGTCAATATAGACTATCATATGGTCAGTATAGACTGCATTATATGGTCAATAAAGACTGCACTATATGGTCTGTATAGACTGTATTATATAGTCAGTATAGACTGCATTATATAGTCAGTATAGACTGCACTATATGGTCAGTATAGACTGCACTATATGGTCAGTATAGACTGCACTATATGGTCAGTATAGACTGCACTATATGGTCAGTATAGACTGCACTATATGGTCAGTATAGACTGCACTATATGGTCAGTATAGACTGCACTATATGGTCAGTATAGACCTATATAAGGCACTTTGACTGTATTGAACTGCATTTATGTGGGTCCGCTAAGGCAGTTCAAAACTACATTATAGGGTAGTGTATATCCAGCCATAGTCTATATGCTCTTCCATTTTTTGGGCTGGATTTGCACCACCATAGCATGCACTTTTGGACTGCATTATGTGGTCAATGTTGTAGACCCATATAGTGCAATTCAATACAGTCAAGCAGCGTTATATGACAGTGTAGATCCAGCGATGCTCAAATGCATGCGACAATGCATTCATGGAAATGAATATATAAATGTATGTATATGTGAGTGTGTGTGTATACAGACACACACATATATATGAGCCATCCGTTATGATACAAAGGAAGGAGAATAGAGGGATGACCAACTATTTGTTGTTGTTTTAACTTGGCAAATCAAAGCAAGCCGCCTCGCATCTTTGGACTTGGTCGATATTCCCAAAAATGAAAGCCTAAAGGAGTATCACCAAAACCTTGGGTGACCCAACGCTATGGGAATCCTGGGAGTTGTAGTTTGCAAAACCCTGGCTTCCCATTTCAAAGCGTCCCATCGGCTTCTGGTGGAAAGCGCATTCTCTTTCCTTGGCTGGCTTTGCCTGGATCAAATATCTCAGAATTAGGGGCCTATTTAGAAGTATTCTCAGGTCTTCCCATCCTTTCCAAAATAATAATAATAATAGAATCCTAGAGTTGGAAGAGACCTCCAAATGTCATCCAGTCCAACCCAAATTCTGCCATTGTAAGGAAGACACTCTCTCATTGGCTTTTTTAGCTGCTGCATCACACTGTTGGCTGTTTTTTAGGTTGTAGTATAGGCATGCGCAAACTTGGGCCCTCCAGGTGTTTTGGACTTCAACTCCCACAATTCCTAACAGCCGGTAGGCTGCTAGGAATTGTGGGAGTTGGAGTCCAAAACACTTGGAGGGCCCAAGTTTGCCCATGCCTGTTGTAGTAGAATCACCTCATCCTGGAATTGGAAGGGACCTCTAAAGGCCATCCAGTCCAACCCCTTTCTGCTAGGAAGACACAATTCAAACCCTCCCGACAGGTGGCCATCCAGCCTCTGCTTAAAAACCTCCAGAGAAGGAAAGTACTCCAAAAAAAAATGGGTGGCACTGCTATGTTCTCAGGGTATTTGAGAGGTGCATCACACACACACACAGAGCTGTGCAATACTTGAATTCAGAGAGGGCTTGGGGTGCATCTGCACTGTGGAACCAATGCAGTTTGGCACCACTTTGCATTGCCATGGCTCATCCTGGGAGCCTCCTCTGCCAAAGAGTGCCAACTGCAACTCCCATAGCAGTCAAAGTGGCACCAAACCGCTTTCATTCCACAGTGTAGACGCACCCAAAGGGAGGAAGGAATGAGGAATGTCCCTGGGTGTGCGAGTGAGGATGCGTGGCAGAGCGTTTGTGCAAAGAGGTTTTAAAGAGAGGAGATGAATGGGAAATTTACACAAAACAAAAAAGAAGTTTTAAAATCCCCCCTTTTGCCCTGTTTCCCCATGTGTTTGTGCCCCCCCCCCAAGAGAATTGACAAAAGTGATATAGGAGGGTTGGTTCATTTTATTTCTGTTTCGGCATGCTGTCCCCCCCTCTTTTCCCTCGCTGTCTCCTGCTTTCTCTAAATGTACTGTATGTTTGAACCTGTGAAAAGATGTAAAACATAATGAATTCAGGTCACGTCTGTTCTGAACTCTGTATCCGTGTAATAAAGAAAATTTAATATCACTGACTTCGTTTCTTTGGCTTCCTTCTGCCATGTAATGAAACAGGGATGGATATTATTATTATTATTATTATTATTATTATTATTATTATCATCATCACATTATATTTTCTATTATCTACATCACTACAAGAAAGGAGATTCCATCTGAACATTAAGAAGAACTTCCTGACTGTGAGAGCTGTTCAACAGTGGAACTCTCTGCCCCGGAGTGTGGTGGAGGCTTCTTCTTTGGAAGCTTTTAAACAGAGGCTGGATGTATTGTTGAAGGCTTTCATGGCCGGAATCACTGGGTTGTTGTAGGTTTTTTCGGGCTATGTGGCCATGTTCTAGAGGCATTCTCTCCTGACGTTTTCCCTGCATCTATGGCAAGCATCCTCAGAGGTAGTGGATGCTTGCCATAGATGGAGGCTAAACGTCAGGAGAGAGTGCCTCTAGAACATGGCCATATAGCCCTCTGAGGATGCTTGTCATAGATCCAGGCAAAACATCAGGAGAGAATGCCTCTAGAACATGGCCATATAGCCCTCTGAGGATGCTTGCCGTAGATGCAGACGAAACGTCAGGAGAGAATGCCTCTAGAACATAGCCATATAGCCCGAAAAAACCTACAACAACCCAGAGACTGGATGGCTATCTGTCAGGGGTGCTTTGAATGCAATTTTCCTGCTTCTTGGCAAGGGGTTGGACTGGATAGCCCATGAGGTCTCTTCCAAATCTATAATTCTATGACTCTATGATTATCTGTATATAATAATAAAATAAGTAACATTAATTATTTTATTGTATTGTCGAAGGCTTTCATGGCCGGAATCACTGGGTTGTTGTAGGTTTTTCCGGGCTATATGGCCATGTTCTGGAGGCATTTTTTCCTGACGTTTCGCCTGCATCTATGGCAAGCATCATCAGAGGGAGTGAGGATGACCTCACTACCTCTGAGGATGCTTGCCATAGATTCAGGCAAAACGTCAGGAAAAAATGCCTCCAGAACATGGCCATATAGCCTGGAAAAACCTTCAACAACCCAATTATATTATTATTATTATTATTATTATTATTATTATTATTATTTATTTACTTACTTTATTGCTTTTTTGTATTGTTAGTAAAGGTAAAGGTTTTCCCCTTACATTAAGTCCAGTCATGTCCAACTCTGGGGAGTGTTGCTCATTTCCATTTCTAAGCCGAACAGCTAGCATTGTCCGTAGACACCTCCAAGGTAATGCGGCCGGCATGAAGAGCCCTTACATTCCTGCCGGAGCAGTACCTATTGATCTACTCACATTTGCATGTTTTCAAGCTGCTAGGTTGGCAGAAGCTGGGGCTAACAGCAGGAGCTCATGCCGCTCCCCGGATTAAAACCTGTGACCTTTCAGTCAACAAGCTCAGCAGTTTAACTCACTGCGGCACCAGGGGCTCCCATGCAATGAAACAGGGATGCACATAATAATAATAATAATAATAATAATAATAATAATTGTCATCATCATCATCATCATCATCATCATATTCTATATTTTATCTGTATATAACAAAAATAAAACAATTAACATTAATTATTATTAATTATTATTACTATATTTTATTTACTTATTATATTGCTATATTGTATTGTTAATTAAGGTTTTCCCCTGACATTAAGTCCAGTCATGTCCGACTCAGGGGGGTGTTGCTCATTCCCAATTCTAAACCAAAGAGCCAGCATTGTCCCTAGATACCTCCAAGGTAATGTGGCCAGCATGATTGCATGAAGCGCCCTTATCTTCCTGCCGGAACGGTACCTGCTAATCTCACATTTGCATGTTTCGAACTGCTAGGTTGGCAGAAGCTGGGCCTTACAGCGGGAACTCACCCCGCTCCCTGGATTTAAACTGCCAACATTTCCGTCAGCAAGTTCAGAATCTCAGCGGTTTAATCTGCTTTGCCACCAGGGGGCAATATTTAATAATATTTTAATAAATAAATAATAATAATTTAAAGGGTTGTCTGTGGACACCTCTGAGGTCATGTGACCAGCATGATTGCATGGAGCGCCATTACCTTCCCACTAGAGCAGTACCTATTGATCTAATCACATTTGCATGTTTTCGAACTGCCAGGTTGACAGAAGCTGGGCTAACAGTGGGAGTTCACCCGCTGTTAACCCACTACTGTTAGCCCACCACCAGGGACTCTCATATATGTATATAATATATATCAGTGAGGGTGTCTGAACACAGGTAGCCTGGCTGTTGTTGCCTGAAGGCATCCTCTGTTTAGGCAGTGTTCACTCTGGCACTTGATCCCAAACAGAGGATGCCTCCAGGCAACAATGCCCTAGCTACCTCTATGCAGATACTCTCACTGATTGACTTTGCAGCTTCCTAGCTACTCAATGCTATTCAAGTTTGCTAATTGCAACACTCACACTTGCTTTAGACAGACAAGGGTTCTTTTTCCCACCCTGGACATTATTCCACAGGTATATATACATGCCACTTGCTTCACTGTCAACAGAACCTCTGAAGATGACATTAGCCATAGATGCAGGCCAAACATCAGGAGAGAATGCTGCAGGAACATGGCCCGACAGCTTGAAAGACTCAAAGCAACCCAGTGATTCTGACCATAAAAGCCTTCAACATTCACCACTTTTCCCCCATCTACCTCTTTAGATTTTCCCAGCTTCCAAGGACTAGATTGTTCCTTTTAATTCAAGCTTGGAGACCCACCTGAGGTTCACTTCTTATAGGTGTCTCTATGCCCCGCCCTTATCCAGGTGGCCCCGCCTACCTCAGCATCTGATTGGCTGTTGACTTATCAAATACCTCACCTGGAGCAGTGGATTCTTCCAAGCTTACCTTTTTTTACCTGGAAGTGGTGGAGTTTGCAGGTGACTCTTGAGCAGCCATGTTTGGACTTGGGGCAAGGTAATAATAATAACAACAACAATAATAATGTATGGATGCTTGGTTCTGCCATTCTTTAGTCTTTACAGGGCTCATCTATATAGGTAAGTACATAAGATAGGTTGAGGCAAACACTACCTTCAATCTGAACTATAAATTCCCAGAGTTCTGGGATTTGTAGTCCCAAAACTTTCCTATCTCGGGAGGACTTTTTACGGCTATTCCAAGCCTCAAAGGATAATAATAAACCACCTTGAAACAATATAGAGTTGGGCTGGAAGACCTCGAAAATGACAGTTTTGTCAGATGGGGATACAGGGGTCTGACTATTATAAGGCTTACGGAGGACCCTAAAGGACATCTAGTCCAACCTTTTGCCATACAGACAAACACAATGGACCTTTTCATGCTCTGCACCAAAGTTGCAAAATGTTTGCATGTGAGGACAATTAAGTTACAATCCTTTCTGAGTAACTGCATGTAGGAGTACTTCTGAATTGATGGAGTTAAGTGGCTACTGCTGGAGACAATTAATGGCTCTAAATGCTAGGCTTGCTTGTATAAGTCACATGCATATATATGTGCACGCATACACACAATATACACAAATGTATACATATACACAAATGCATACACACAATATACACAAATGTATACATATACACAAATGCATGTATATACGTATATCGCTTGTCTAGACCAGATATGGGCAAACTCAGGCCCGGAGGCTGGATGCAGCCCATTGGGCTTTTTTCTCAGGCCCTTCTCTCTCACTGTCCTATCCTTCCTTCCCTCTTTCCTTCCTCCTTTCCTCCTTCTTTCTCCCTCCCTCCCACCCTTTTGTCCTTTCTTCCTCCTCCTTTCCTTCCTCCTTCCCTCCCTCACTTCCTTATCTCTCTCTTTCTCTCTCCCTCCTTCCATTCCATCCTTTCGTCCTTCTTTCCCTCTCTTCCTCCTTCTTTCCTTCCTTCCCCTTTCTCTTTCTTCTCTCTTTCCTTTTGTTTCCCTTCATCTCTCCCTTCCTTCCATTTTCCTTTCATCCTTCCCTCTTTTGTCTTTCCTTCTCTCTTTCCTTCCTCCTTCCCTCCCTCCCTTCCTTGTCTCCCTCTTTCTCCCTCCTTCCTTCCATTCCATCCTTTTGTCCTTCTTTCCCTCTCTTCCTTCCCCTTTCTCTTTCTTCTCTCTTTCCTTTTTGTTTCCCTTCATCTCTCCCTCCTTCCATTTTTTTTCCTTTCATCCTTCCCTCTCTTTTGTCTTTCCTTCCTCCTTCCCTCCCTTCCTTATCTCCCTCTTTCTCTCTCCCTCCTTCCGTCCTTTCGTCCTTCTTTCCCTCTCTTCCTCCTTCCCCTTTCTCTTTCTTCTCTCTTTCCTTTTTGTTTCCCTTCATCTCTCCCTTCCATTTTTTCTTTTCATCCTTCCCTCCCTTTTGTCTTTCCTTCTCTCTTTCCTTCCCTCTCTCCTTCTCTTTCCCTTCTTTTCCTTCCTTTTTTCTCTTCCTCCTTCCCTCCCTCTTTCTTCTTCCCTCCCTCTTTTTCCCTCTTCCCTCCTTCTTCCCTCCCTCCCTTCCTTCCCTCCTTTCTCCCTCCTTTTCTTCCCCTTTCCTCCTTCCTTCCCTCTCTCCTCCTTCTTTCTTCCCTTTTGCTCTTTCCTTCCTTTCTCTTTCCTTTTTCCTTACCTCCCTCCCTTCCCTCTTTCCCCTTCCATCTTTTCTTCATCCTTTCTCCTTCTCCCTCTTTCCTCCCTCTTCTCCTTCCTTCTTCCTACCCTTTTGTCTTTCCTTCCTTCTATCTTTCCTTCCTCCTCCCTCCTTCTTCTCTTCCCTCCAATCCCTTCCACCCTTTCATCTTTCCTTCTCCCTTTTTCTTCTTCCTCCTCTTCCCTCTTTCCTCTTCTCCTTTCCTCCACCTTTTCTTTCTTCCTTCCCTTTTCCCCTTCCTCTTTTTCCCTTCCTTCGTTTCTCCCTTTCTTTTTATCTTTCCTTCCTCCTGCCACCTTTCTCCCTCCCTCCATCCCCTTCCATCCTTTTATCTTTCCTTCTCTCTTTCCTTCATCCGTCCCTTCCACCCTTTTGTCCTTCCTTCCTTCTCTCTTTCCGTCTTCCTTACTTCCCTCTCCCTATTTCTCCTTCCATCCTTCCCTTCCTCCCTTTTGTCCTTCCTTCCTTCTCTCTTTCCTTCCTCCTTCCCTTCCTTCCTTCCATCACCAGGCAGCCAGTCCTCCTACCAGGGAGTACTAGTATGCGGCTCCCAAGTCAAAAAGTTTGTCCAGGCCTGATCTAGATAGATACATATGTGTGCATTTGTGTATATCTTTAGGTATTTACATACACAAATATTTTATATTTCTTTGAATGAACACAAAAGATTAGCCTTACTGGCAACACCGCAAGCGTTAGAGGATGCATTTCAGTGTCGTTTTGCAGACCAATGTCCTGCTTCTCTTGCAAAAGGCACCTGCAGGGCCTATGTGTTTCTGAGCATGTACAGAATACCATTCGCATTGCATGAGGGGGGCAGCTTTCGATATATTCCCCCTCCCATGGAATAATAATAATAATAATAATAATAATAATAATAATAATAATAATAATAATACTTTATTTATACCCCGCTACCATCTCCCAAGGGACTTGGTGCGACTTACATGAGGCCAAGCCCACAATACATCAATACAAGCAATAACAATTACAATGCGAAGCAAAATACAAATACTAATACAAAGCAATTAAAATAAATCTCATACACAAATAGCATAAACATTGAACAGTGGCACAAAACACATTTAAAAACTATGGCTGGGCCAAATGTAATTAAGTTAAAAAATAATGCTGGGCATGAACAAGAGAGAGGAGGTGGGGCAATGGGCGAACATACAAGCAGTCCTAAATCAGTATACAGTGCTTTTGGAGGACATAATGCTAAGGGTTCATTATTCTGGGAAGGCACACTGGAACAACCACGTCTTCAAGCTCCTCCTAAAGACTGCCAGAGTTGAGGCATGCCTGATATCCTTCGGAAGTGAGTTCCAGAGTCGAGGGGCTACCACTGAGAAGGCCCTCTCGCTCTCTCGTCCTCACCAAGGTATTCTGTATATGCTCAGAAGTTCTTTCTCCCACCCTGGACATTATTCCACAGAGGATGCCTCCAGGCAACAGAGGCCAGGCTACCTCTATGCAGATAGTCTCACTGATTGACATTGCAGCTGCATGGCTACTTAATGCTATTCAAGCTTGCTAACTGCAACATTCACACTTGCTTAAAACAGACAGGGGTTCTTTCTCCTTTACTTACTTACTTAAACGATCCCACGTTGTCCGAGTAGGATTGTCTTGCAAGATCGATGTACTGGCGGTGGGTCCGTAGGTGACTGTGGAGCCCTATTCTTGATCTGCATCTTCTCCCGCAGTGAAGGCATTAGTTTACAGGTGGAAGGTGGTCCCAGTAAGGGTTGGCTTAATGCGCCTTCTTCTTGGCACGTTTCTCTCTTTTGCCCTCCATTCGTGCCTCTTCAAATTCTACAGCACTGCTGGTTACAGCAGACCTCCAGCTGGAGCACTCAAGGGCCAGGGCTGCCCAGTTCTCAGTGTCTATGCCAGAGTTTTTAAGGTTGGCTTTGAGCCCATCTTTAAATCTCTTTTCCTGTCCACCAACATTCCGTTTTCCATTCTTGAGTTCAGAATAGAGCAACTGCTTTGGGAGACGGTGGTCAGGCATCCGGACAACGTGGCCGGTCCAGCGGAGTTGATGGCGGAGGACCATTGCTTCAATGCTGGTGGTCTTTGCTTCTTCCAGCACGCTGACATTTGTCCGTTGTCTTCCCAAGAGATTTGCAGGATTTTTCGGAGGCAATGCTGATGGAATCCTTCGGGGAGTTGCACGTGATGTCTGTAGATTGTCCATGTCTTGCAGGCATATAGCAGGGTTGGGAAGACAATAGCTTTATAAACAAGCACCTTGGTCTCCCTACGGATGTCCCGGTCCTCAAACACTCTGTGCTTCATTCGGAAAAATGCTGCACTCGCAGAGCTCAGGAAGTGTTGTAATTTGGTGTCTTTTATGGAGAGATGGTTGCCAAGTTAGTGGAAATGGTCAACATTTTCTAATGTTACACCATTAAGCTGTATCTCAGGCATTGGAGAGGGATTGGCTGCTGACTGCTGGAACAGCACTTTGGTTTTCTCGATGTTCAATGACAGGCCGAGCTTCTCGTATGCTTCTGTGAAGGTGTTTAGAGTGGCTTGTAGATCTTCTTCTGAATGCGCACAGACAACGTTGCCATCGGCATATTGGAGTTCTATAACATGATGTAACATTAGTTTTGGCTTTCTGTCCGCTGAGGTTAAATAACTTGCCATCTGTCCGATAGATGATTTCCACTCTGATGGGAAGCTTCTTCGTGGGATTTTCTTAGTGGGTCTGCAGATAATTTGTAGGTTGTGTTTCTTCCTCAGCTTTCCTCTGTGGTCAGTGGTTCCCCTGATGTATGGTAAGAACCCTTTTCCTCTGGGTGGATCTTTGTCTTGACTCTCGTGGCTTGTTCAGGGCTTTGATCGTGCTTCTTTTCTTGACCTGAGTGGTGATGGTTGGAGCTTTTCGTGTAGGGATTTGCAGTCTAATCTTGGTCTGCATCTTATCCTTCTCTAGCCTCCACTTTCCAGAAGCCGGGTCCTGGTGGCGAGACCCTCCACCTTTGACCTCGGCGGATTCCCCGTGGGACGTGGCCGAAATCTCAGCCTGGCAGAAGCATTTGGAGGAACAGACCGCACTGAGTCCCTTGGAAGCCGAGACAAAGGATCTTCTGCAGAAGGAGGAGGATCCGGTGAGGAGTGACCCATATTTGGCAATATTTGGCATCTACGCTACTTTTCAGGGCAATGTTGCCTTGAGGTGAATCCACACCAGGCATTGACCAACTTTGGCCCTCCAGGTGTTTTGGACCTCAACTCCCACAACTCCTAACAGCCGGAACTGTGGCACAGATGGCTGGGAGTCAGCTGCATTAAGATTACTACTGACTGAAAGGTCATGAGTTCAAAGCCAGCCTGAGTCGGAGTGAGCTTCCGACCAATTTGTGTAGCTTGCTGTCGACCTCCATAGACTTACTCCAGTGTTTTAACCACTAGACTTACTCTCGTTTCATTGTTATTGTGCAGGAGCTAGAAGCCATCAAGGCAAAGGTTCGGGAGATGGAGCAAGAAGAATGGCTCCAGGAGCTGCAGACTAAGAGTCTCCTCCTGAGTTCGGATCCAGGTAGACTTCCATGTCTGAATGGGGATTCAAACCCTAGTCTGCAATGTCATAGAATGCATCTACATTGTAGGATTAGTGCAGTTTGACACAACTTTTAACTGCCATGGCTTCACGAGTTGTAGTATGCAAAGTCTTGAGCCTTCTCTGTCCAAGACTGCTGGAGCCTCACCAAACTAAGACTCCCAGGAGTCCATAGCATGGAGCCAAGGCCATCCAAGTAGCATCAAACTGCATTCATTCTACAATTGTGTTCTTTGTTGCAGTTCTGAGTAGGTGGGTCCCATAATCACGTACCCCTCTCACTTTGAAGTGCTCTCCTCTTTGCAGGTCTTCTTTTGCACAGGACAACCGAGGAGAAGGTGGAAGCTGACCAGCGCTCCATCTACGTGGGGAACGTAAGTGAGATGTGTGCCCAAGGGTGGTTCTTCTTCATGGTCTTCTTGTGATCTTCATGATCTTCATAGTCTTCTTTCCGGTTCTTTATGGTCTTATGATCCTCATGGCCCTTTCCATTATCTTCTTGTAGTCTACTTCATAGTATTCTTCATTATCTTCTCATGGTCTACTTCATGGTCTTCTTGTGGTCTACATTATAGTTTTCTTCACAATCTTCTTGTGGACCTTTTCATAGTCTTCTTGTGGTCTTTTTCATGGCCTTTACATGGTCCTCTTCATAGTCTTCTCATAATCTTTTTCGTATTCTTCATGGTCTTTTCATAGTCTTTTCATGGTCACCTTAATGGTCTTCTTGAGGTCTTTTCATGGCCTTTTTATGGTCTTGTACCTGCAGTGTAGTCATCTTCATTGTCCTTTCATGGTCTTTTTCATGGTCTCCTTCATGGTCTTTGCAGGTGGATTACGGAGGAACAGCAGAACAGCTGGAGTCGCATTTCAACAACTGCGGAAAGATAAACCGTGTGACCATCCTTTGTGACAAGTTCTCTGGCCATCCGAAAGGGTGAACATCCATCTATGGACCGGAGTGGGGCTTCGGAAAGTGGTGGCTGGTTTTAAGAAGGGGGCATGATCTACGTCAACACTGTAGCATTAATGCAGTTTAATACCACTTTGACTGCTATGGCTCAATACTATGGGATCCTGGGAGTTGTCATTTTGCAGAGGTCATCAGTGTGCTCTGCCCAAGAGTGCTGGTGCCTCACCAAACTACAACTCCCAGGATTCCATACTACAGACTCATGGGAGTTAAAAGTGGCATCAAACTGCATTAAATCAACAGTGTGGATGCATCATTTTTTTCTCCTGTTGCAGATATGCCTACATTGAGTTTGCAGACAAGAGCTCAGTCAAGGTAGCCATGGAGCGGGATGAGAGTGTATTCCGGGACCGCGTCATTAAGGTGGGTGATATTTTTCCAGCTAGGGTTGTAAAGAGGATCCTATTTAAAATCCTAAAAGGAGCCTTGTCTACCAGTCAGAGCTTTCAATATTAGGTTACAATGGACTAGTCGTCTGATTCAATATTAGGGAAAATCCCATATAATCCTAACTAAAACCCTAAAGAAATCCTTGGCTACTTGTCAGAGCTGGCAATAATATAATAATACAATATAATACTACTAATAATTTTATATTATTGTATATTTTATATATAATTACTAATAATGTTGCAATATAATGGTATAGTACAATATAGTAATATATAATACTGATATTGTACTATACTAATAATATATATTGAATGTATATATATCTTGTAAGCCACTTTGAGTCCTCTTCGGGGGTGAGAAGGGTGGCATATAATTGTAAATAAATAAATGGACCAGTCATCTAACTCAATGTGATTCCCTTGTGAGTCTACCTAAAGCCCTAAAGGAATCCTTGGCTGCCAGTCAGAACTGGCACTACTAAATTAAATGGACTAGTTGTCGGGTTCAGTATAAGGGTAGAGTCCATATCCTTTTGGAAGGGATGCCTATCTAAAACTACAGGAAGCTAGGCACATCTAGGCTCAATGGACCTGAGATGGGACCCAGGATAAGGCATCTTCCTACCTTCTTCCAGGTCTTGCCCAAAAGGACCAACATGCCTGGCATTAGCACGACTGACCGTGGCGGATCCCGGGGTCATTTCCATGGACGGGGCGCCTTGCCACGCCGGGCTGGGTTCAATGGAGCCCAACGTGCGAGGCCACGCGGAAGGGTCTACAGGTGAGTGCTTGGGGAGATAGAATCATAGAATCAAAGAGTTGGAAGAGACCTCATGGGCCATCCAGTCCAACCCCCTGCCAAGAAGCAGGAATATTGCATTCAAATCACCCCTGACAGATGGCCATCCAGCCTCTGTTTAAAAGCTTCCAAAGAAGGAGCCTCCACCACACTCCGGGGCAGAGAGTTCCACTGCTGAACGGCTCTCACAGTCAGGAAGTTCTTCCTCATGTTCAGATGGAATCCCCTTTCTTTTAGTTTGAAGCCATTGTTTTGCGTCCTCGTCGCCAAGGAAGCAGAATAATAATAATAATAATAATATATATTGTAATACATAATCATCTTCTTTCTAAGCTATTTTCCCAATGGAGGGGCTAGCATTGTGACTGTCGTTTCCTCAGGGCTTTGATTTGGGCATCCTCGGGACTCAGGTTAGCAGCACTCATGTCTTTGTTGATGGTGTCCATCCATCTTTTCTTTGTCCCCATGGTTGCTGTCCTGCAATCTCCAAATGCAGTGCTGTTCGTGTTCCTGATATTGGTTCTCTTCTCATGACATGGCCGTACCACCATAGTCTTGTTTTCTGGATGTTCTTGCCAAGGGGTCCTCAAACTTCTTAAACAGAGGGCCAGGTCACAGACCCTCAAACTGTTGGCGGGCCGGATTATAATTTGAAAAAAGCATGAATTAATTTCTATGCACACTGCACATATCTTGTTTGCAGTCCAAAAAACACATTAAAACAATACAATAATTAAACTGAATGACAATTTTAACAAGTATAAACTTATTAGTATTTCAATGGGAAGCGTGGACCTGCTTTTAGCTGATGAAATAGGGTTGTTGTTGTTGTTGTTGTTGTTGGTGGTGGTGGTGGCTTTCAAGGGGTTCAAACTCCCCCTCCCCCAATTTTTCAGGTTAAAAAACCAACTTTTTTTTTTGTGGCTATTTTTGGCCTTACTAACCTTGCATACTTTGTATCTTATACCTTTTACAGAGCAATAAGGGTCTTTGGACTGTATTAAAAATGTTGTTGTTGTGTTATCGAACTACTCTTCATGATTTGCTAAAAAAAAGTTTCAACCCCCTCCCCCCCCCCCAAATTTTTTTTTTTCTGGCTATGGCCCTGATGGCTCGTAAGCATTCCCCCATTAGTAGCTTAGGAGGTGACTGTGTGTTCTTGGGGTGCATCTACACTGTATAATTCATTAATGCAGTTTGGCACCACTTGAACTACCTTGACTCAATGCAATGGAAGACTAGGAGTTGTAGTTTCACTTGAATACTGTCAGTTCCTGCACAGCATTGGGATGGACTGGATAGCCATAGTAGTATGCCTGATCTCTGCAGTTCTATGATTCTACAAGGTCTTGAGCATCCTCTGCCAAAGAGTGAAAACGACAAATCCCAGGATTCCATTATGTTGAGCAGTGGCAGTTTCAATGGGTGTCGAACTGCTTTATTTCTGCAGTGTAGATGCACCCTATTTGCAGTCAAAGGTGACTTCCTTTCTCCCGGGGGGAAACTCTTGGAAATAAGTCCAGTTGGTTTAACATCACCTGAGCACCTGTGAGGCCGGCAGGGTCTGTCGAAGTGTATGGAGAGCAAAGGCTCAGACAGCCTGGCAGCAGCCCTTGGCGCTGGCCTTTCTTTTATTTTTTCCTCATATTGGAAGGGACAGAAGTGAGCAGTCATTTGCTACCTGGCAGCAGGCCATACCTGAGAGCTGCTCACCTTGGTGGCCTTGGAGGTGTTGAGGAAGGAGGTCGCAGGTGGTTGGATTAGTATCCCTGGGAGGGCATCTGTCACCCTTTCAGCATCTGACAGCCTTGCCACAAATTTGCTGAAATAGTATCAGGAATAGTAAGTAGTATTTGTATTCTGCTTTTCTTCCGGGACTGGAACCCTAATTGTTCACAGCTCCATCTAGCTATTATTATTATTATTATTATTATTATTATTATTATTATTATCATCATCATCATCATCATCATCATCAATAATGTGATCCAATACAGCAGCCAGCAGAGTGATCTTGTTTGCTGTGGACTCATCTTGTGTTTCTAATAATAATAATAATAACAACAATAACATTAACAACAACAACAATAACTACTCTGGTTTTCTTCCAGAACTGGCACCCCAAGCCACTCACGGCTCTACCTAGCAAATAATAATAATAATAATAATAATAATAATAATAATAATAATAATAATAATAGCAGCAACAACAATATGTACCCAGCTGTTTTTCCAGAACTGGCATCCCAAGCCAGTCACAGCTCTAACTAG